TATAGCATTCTATTATATTAAAGTGTAATTATATTATATTATTAAATTAGTTACAATTAATGATGTAACTGAATTTTAAATTAATTTTAAATGTATAAACATTAAATTTCTTAAATTAGTTTCATTATCTTAATAAAAAAAAGCTTTTTTTAAATAATATACTTTTGTGAGATGTGCATAATTTAATTCTAGGATAATAAAATACAATATATAAAAATAGTTATAAAATGATCATTTTTATAGCATTCTATTATATTAAAATTATTAAACTAAATTGATATTTAATTAGTAACAGTTAATAATGTAATTTAATTTTAAATGAATTCAAAATTTATAAACATTAAATTTCTCAATAAATTAGTTACATTACACTTTTATTTATTTTTTTAAATAATATACTTTTTGTTAGATGTGCATTTTTGTGGGTTCACACAAACCTACTTGCTTACATGTTTTTATATTGCATTTGATGATAAGTAGAACAAACAAATCATTGCACATACCTCTCTTCTGTTCATCTTTGGTATCTCCGGTTTCTCCAGCCGTGGGCGGCGCTTCAGCACTGCTGTGAGCATCAGTGTTAGCGCTGTCAGCACGAGCTCTGGTTGACGGCCTGAATTCAAGACAAGACAACACCTCACTGTAATATTCACATCCACTTCCATACTATTCCATGTTTGAAAGCAAGAGGAGTGTTGGTTACTGGCTGGAGGAGGCAGAGTAGGCCTCAAACTTGTAATGCGTCTCAGGCTCTTCGCTCATCTGAAGGTCTTTGACGTGCGTGGCGTACTGCTGTCCCGGGTCGTACAGTTTACTGCTCTCACACAGCGTCTGATAGTGCACCGGCAGCGCTACCGTCTGCATGTGCATGATCTGGTAGTAGGAGATGGTGGCCTGGAAAGAGTTTCACACGGTTAAAACCGCTCAAGCTGGATTTGGATTTGAAGTTTTCTTGGTGTTTTTTCAGAATTTATTTGTTCCTGTTAATCTGAGTAATGCATGACTGGGCCATTGATCAAGTATACACACAATACTACTGAAAAACACAACCTTAAAAAGTCTCATTCATAACATATTTAGCTTTACAAATGTCTTGATCAGAGTTTAAAATTAACTTTATGCCTTGAGAAAATTGACTAGCCATAAATATTTATTCCCAGCCATTAAACTTTTTTTTTTTAAATATGTTCTTGATATATTTTCTATATTGAAGAGATATTTAACAGCATTTTACAATATACAATTTGCTGTTATACATATATATATATATA